AGCTATTAAAGCAGCGAACAATTTTTCTTTTGCTCTTTTTGATTAACATTATTTATGTAAGAAATGCATGGATCCATTATACAGATATACATTTGATATTTTCTTTACTGTTTACATTCACTTAAAACAACCGACTGTGCTGACAAGGATACTTGTCAAGACATCCATTGGTATTCACCTGCTGTCTGAGAAGGCTATCTGTTTGTGCACTTCAGGTGTGTGAGCGGTGCGCATAGAAACGCTCTATCAGTGTGTGCATGCCGCATTGAGCTGTCTTGGGCTTAAATGGCTTAAAATTACTTTAATGTTTAAACTAACATGACTTAAAACACGTGAGAATGAAAAACTTTCGAGGAAGCAGCACTGGCCTGATTGTTAAGATAGTTTTGGTGGGCTAAGGTGACAGATAGGGGGGCTGAAACCCACCTAAAAAGGGTTTAGAACCGCCCCTGGTATAGTGTGCGTAATTATACTGAAACATATATATATAACCAGTTTACCTGATTCAATGTGATGGCTGAGCCTGTTTTTGAGATAACAACATGCCAATCCGTGGTTGGATTTCCGAATCAGGGCTAATCATAAATCATCTTACACTTTCAATAAGCGTGACCAGGGTTGCCAGCTTTTCACAACAAAACCTGCCTAATTGCTACTCAAAACTAGCCCAAAACTACAAAACGCGGCAAGTGTTAAAGTAGCCCAATTCCGCAGGAAAACTGCGGACTTGGCAACACTGAGTGTGACTGATACTCGAGCCAACTCTGCTCTGTCGACTAGCAGTGGGAGTCAGATTGCCCCCTAGTGGATGGCTAAAGATTTGTTAACTCATATTCATAAATTCTCAAGAGAACATCTCTGAATAAACTGATGCTCGCGCCCCCCTGGGGAAAACCCCTGCTCTAGATCATCTGGGTACTTTTCACCTACTGTTTTTCAAAGACTATGAATTCGGACATACTACTCTTTTGCCGTACTGTTTTCTCACACTACATGGTATGGAAGTTGTAATATTCGGACACACACTAAGCGATTAGCTTCCTTTAGCGAAAGCTAGCTTAAAATGCAAAGAAAGGGAAGTGGTTCATTTGGCCATCTACAGCTTTTTCATATTATGTGGTACATTAAGACATTAATGTTCATATTTTCATGATAACACTACATTACTCTAAATCAGGCACAGCATTGAACAGAACTCTTTAATCAAACTATGCTGAAAACATTAAACTCCCAGTCCTGCTTTATATTCATTTATTCCTGATGTGAAGCATTGTGTAAAATGCATTGTTTTTTTCTCCTCTTGCTGCAGGACTGTTTCATCGTGCCATAATCCAGAGTGGCTCAGCATTGTCCAGCTGGGCCGTCAACTACCAGCCGGTTAAGTACACAAGGCTGCTGGCAGAGAAAGTGGGCTGTAATGTGCTGGACACACTAGACATGGTAGATTGCCTGAGAAAGAAGAGTGCTCGTGAGCTGGTGGAACAAGACATCCAGCCAGCAAGATACCACGTCGCCTTTGGCCCAGTCATTGACGGCGATGTCATTCCCGATGACCCTGAGATCCTGATGGAGCAGGGCGAGTTTCTCAACTACGACATTATGCTGGGTGTTAACCAGGGTGAGGGGCTGCGTTTTGTAGAGAATGTTGTGGACTCTGAAGATGGTGTCTCGGGCAATGATTTCGACTTCTCGGTCTCTGACTTTGTGGACAGTCTTTATGGTTACCCAGAGGGAAAGGATACGCTACGAGAAACCATTAAGTTCATGTACACGGACTGGGCAGATAGAGACAACCCTGAGACACGCCGTAAGACTCTGGTGGCGCTTTTTACTGATCATCAGTGGGTGGAGCCCTCGGTGGTGACGGCAGATCTTCACGCCCGGTATGGATCGCCCACGTACTTCTACGCCTTCTACCACCACTGCCAGAGCCTGATGAAGCCCGCTTGGTCGGATGCGGCCCACGGAGATGAGGTGCCCTATGTCTTTGGCATTCCCATGATTGGCCCGACCGACCTGTTCCCCTGCAACTTCTCCAAAAATGATGTAATGCTCAGTGCTGTTGTCATGACCTACTGGACAAACTTTGCCAAAACTGGGTAAGTGCCTACATTACAACATGCAAAGTCTGGGGCATGTGCCATTATGTGATTGTGTGATGCACGGTGGCAACTGATTTTTAATTGACCAATCCAGGCTCTTTTCTCACTACACAGTGGCTAATATATTAAAGTGTCCATATTATGCTCAATTACATGTTCATCATTTTTATTAGAATACATTTACATGATTTGGTTTCAGCTTCAGGGGCAGCTGTAAACAGTATTATATCTATTGTAACTATGCTATTGCACTATTGAAATAGTTCGATATTGTGCTATTGGAAGTCCATACTATGCAGGAAGTCATGCAAGACAAATAAGTAGTTCTACATTAACACTACTACTATTAACTCATATGGAAACAGGATTAACTAAACAGTAAAACATTGCCTATTTAGAACTGAGGTTCCTTATTAGGTAATCAATAATTACTGAACACGATAATTACTTAAAATGAGTAAACTGAGAATTGCCTGTTTCACTGTGAACATGGTCATAAAATGCACCACTCAAGTGTTATCTAGTTACTCTGCAGGATCTACTAGTGATCTGGACTAAAAAGCAGTGCAGTGCAATGCAATAAAATTAAATTAAATTAAACTAAATAAAAGCCCCTGTAATTATTTTTTTGTTTGTTTTATATTTATAACATTTGGTATAGGAATTATCAGATGCTGTTTTTCTAGAAAGCAACATGATCACAAATGTATATTGATTTTATATAAATTTATATAATCTTTTAAAGGCCCAATTCTCAGTATTAGCTAGTTGCTTATTAGCATGCATATTACTAGCATACTGGCTGTTTATTAGTACTTATAAAGCACATATTAATGTCTTATTCTGCATGACAATATTCTAAATCCCTTAATCCTACCCCATACCTAAATTTAACAGCTACTTTACTATTAATAAGCAGGAAAATAGGAGATTATTGAGGCAAACCTCCCTCAATAATATGTCTTACCCAGTTATTGAACAGTCTACTGTAAGGGACACTAGGAGCAGCCTATGGAGGATTTCACCTATTTATTATATGAATATAAACAATAATGTTCTCTTGTCAACAATAATATTTTGTCAACCTTGATGCATCCAGATTACTGGTAGCTCCTGCAGAGAAACCAGGTAACATGAGTAATTAGTGGTGCATTTTATGACCGTGAAAAAGACAACTGCTGACATCCCAGACACATTTATATTGTGGTTAGTAATTAACTGATAATCCTTTATAATTTGTTATAGTTATTAAAAGGTGCACTATGCAGGATTTTCTCAAAAAATATAAATCCCAAAAAAAGTATAGACTCATTCAAATCTATCTATCTATCTATCTATCTATCTATCTATCTATCTATCTATCTATCTATCTATCTATCTATCTATCTATCTATCTATCTGTCTGTCTATCTTTTATTTATTTATTTTCCAATTCTTCTATTCCTGTGTTTGGGACATTTCTGAGCTGCAACCATTGGTCAGTAGGTGTGTCGTCTGTGTCTTGTATCAACGCAAACACAATTCGCTAATGTTGCTATTGTCTTATTGACTGATAACTGTAACTTGACAAATTACTAGGCATCAGGATTACATTTTTATGATGTCACATAATTATTGTTTATTAGTGAGCTAGCCTGAAGATGGCTAAACTCACTCACAAATTACAGCCAGTCATCTAATTATTAGCATAACTGTTCGTTCACACACACACACACACACACACAAAATGCCATTATGCATGATAAACATATGTATATATGTATATATTTGCAATGCACATCATCATTCATCTTCTCTGTCTCATGTGATGCTGCTGCTGGTTGGACTGTGTCTGTTCTGGTAACTGATGTCATGTCAGGGGCAGGGGGTGTGGCTTCTGGCAGTGTTAAGCCTGCCCATCAAGTTTGCATGCCAAGTTTGAATGTTTACAAACAGTAATCGAAAATCCTGCATAGTGCACCTTATAGTGAGTTAAATCTCATTCAGTAATTACGTAATATGGAACTATCTCAGTCCTAAATTCGCTATTACTTACTGATTAGTTAATCCTGTTTCTATATTAGTTAAGCTGCCAATCTCATTCAGTAATTACGTAATATGGAACTATCTCAGTCCTAAATTCGCTATTACTTACTGATTAGTTAATCCTGTTTCTATATTAGTTCTATATTAGTAGCTGAAGCAGAATAAGTAGCTTACGGTTGTATTACTCATTTGTCCCGCATTACTTCCTGCATAGTTACTTATATACTGATGGACCATTATTCGAAAGTCTTATGATTTCCTGTTTGAGAGATGAACTCCCTTTGGTGTGGAGTTTGTGTTTTGTAACTTTGCAGATCATGTACATGCACAACCAGCTATATTAGGAAAGGTCAAACCAAAAAAAGTATAATAGGTGCCCTTTAATAGACAAACGTGTCATGGCCATTTAAATGAGACCAAAAATTTGGTGAGTTAAATCAATTTGCACCTCCTGCAGATCATTTGCATTAAATACAACATTTTGTGACCATCTACCCACACTCATGTAGCTCAAACTCATTTGATTTTTCCTTTACTATAGAACCAAATGTTGAAGCTGCTCTTTTCCATACAGTGAGAATACATGTCTGTCAATAGGTTTATTTTTACTTAAAATTCACAGAAATCAGATTATTCGCTGACAAGATTGTTGGTAGAGAACTGACGCTATGAGGAGGTAACAAGTGGGTACGATTATCAGATATTGCTGATAATACCGAAATGTGGCAGTATATTTATGTACCACTAGTGTGCAACTGAAAGTACATGTACGGTAAGTACCACTTTTTTTTGTCATCCTTGCGTAAAATATGTTGCAGTGTACTGATGTTTACAACATACTGTATGAATGGTGCTTGAGACCACGTGCAGAAAGAATTATCAGTGGAACTTATCGCATTTCTGTCCCTCAGTAATATCGATCAAAACCCCTCTCTTCAGATGATCCCTACCACCCCAGGTGACCGCATACTCAACAACAAATCCTCCCACGCTCCCCCTTCTCCTTCCTCCTCAATCCTGCCTACAGCATAAAGCATTATAGATCTGTATGAGGAGTGCTTGTAATCAGCTCTAACAACACAAATCTAATTTGACAACTGCTGTTACTGAGAAAAATTGATTGGTCATATGCTGCTGCTTCTCCACTTTTACCAGTCACAATAAAAATGACACCCCTTGACATTTATAAATCATTCTTTAACTGTTAAGTGCACACTAGGTGTAGCCAAAAATAACATACGCAGAGAGGAAATGCTAATGGCTGAGTACCGCAGGCTATTTTTTACGCTGAATGCTCAAGTCAACATTCTGCAGGCATATCAGAGAACTGTTCAGAACAACATCTGTCCAGAAAATGTCAAATTAGCTCAAGGGCATGGGACATTTGTATGAGAAACACTGATTTCCCCCCACAGGGTAATCATTTTCTCAGTTAGACTGCCAGATTTTCTCAGCAAAAACAAAAAGAAAAAAAATGAAATTGTTTGGTGAGTGGATTTTGATGTATTTCCTATTAGGTCTGGTTTGACAATATAAATTAATAGATTTGAATTTATCCTCTTTTTAACAATCACAATATTGTTTCTTAAATATTAAATATAAGGATGCTTTTTTGTTTCCTCTATATTCTTCTACTGTATCATTCAGCCTCCAGTCAAACAGCCCATGCTGTGCTGAGCCAGAGACATTGCTGAGCAGAATACTGTTGTGCTTTTCCTTTTGTCCTCCTATTTTCTCTGCATGCCCCTTCATGCTTTCTTGTAACAAGAACACAAGACTCGCTCAGAAATGCTGAGGCCTGCTGAGATGAATTCAGATATTTCTGTTTGAAAACCCCATGTTTTTTCATGATGCTGTCGCTTGTGGAGACATTGGCAAGTCCACTCAAAGAATAAAACATGATTAATCAATAATCAATAAGCCATGATTAATAAATAAGAGTTGACTCTGCAGTTGCCAGCTAGACTGTAATCGCTCAATGATTTGACATGCCTTGCATTTTGTGTTTTATCGATGCCTTTGTATTGACGTCCGTCTTATTGAAATTCTGTTGCCTGTACTTCATCTGAATGGCAAGCAGATGCTCATTAACTCTCGCTGTCTTGTCGTATCTGCCTCATGATTGTGAAAACAAAAATAATAATTTCAATGCTGCATCTTAATGAGCGGTTTCCCTCACCGCTACACCCAGACGGAAACGATCTCTTGAATATCAGTTGACCCTGCACCCAAGGCCAAGCCTATCACTTTCTCTGTCTTTGAGCTAAATTGCTTCCCGCATCCGCTTGTTTTGTCGTTCCTAGACTACAGTAGAGAAAAAGGGATTGTGTTTATTTAGTTTAAAAGTCTCACTGCCTTCTCAATTAAGCCTAGCACCTGTTACTGTAGGAAATATGTTGGCAATATGCAGATTTGCTATGGAGAAAGTAAAGAAGGATCCTGCGTAGGATCTTGAGAGACACCGGACGCTACGCTGCATGTCGAATGTAATGAGTTGAAGCATCATCAGAGGAGAGCTGAGCGATCAGCGCCGGACAGGAGTCAGGACATGTTGACCATCACTCACCTCACCCATCCGATCAATAGCAGTCATAATGAAGAGTGCACAGGGGCCCGTGTCCTGCAGCTACCTGTATTACTTCAAAATCATTGCCTTCTTTTTGGCTTACTGACGGAGAATCTCCCTGACAGTGATGTTAGATGTTAGAGATGTTCTAATACATTTCAAGATCTTTTTTGTGCATTATGGTTCACGATTTGAGCCTAATTTTATTGACAAATAAACATTTTAAAAAGTTTTGATTGCCCATGTAAAAGTCACCATTACAATGCTGGGGTTATATGGCAGCAGGTTCCAAAGTTTCTGAAGACATTTTGCAATGTTGCTATGCAGTTGCTAGGGTATCCTGGATGTTTGCTAGGGCTGGTTTACTGCCTTCTACGAGTACGTTTGGCAGAATTAATACTTAATA